CTCTAATCTTTAGCTCTGGATATTTCATTTTGCAGATCCTCGATCTTGATTGGTCATCTGGGTTAGCAAAGTTGAAGTGTATTGAGCGGGTTGACCTTGCACTCCATGGATCCTTTGCAGATGTAATTACGATATCAAATCCATATAAGATGGATAATGATCACATGATGTCATTATTTGTATTGACAAATCCAGGACAATTGCATTTTTATCAATATTCGTCTCTCTCTATCTTAAAGTCCGATAGAGGAATTAACCGATCCGTGCATGCCCTTCAATATTATTCAGTTATACCTACTGCAGAACCATATATGACACTGGGAAAGCTATACACGATGCACACGAAAGGGAACATTTTGCGTGCACTATTGGAGGTACTTGATGATATTTAGCTATGATGTATAGATATTCATATTCTTTTATTTTCTTTTATTTATTTATTTTTTTTTTTTCAATTGTTCATTTAAATGATCAGTGATGCCTTCACTAGACAGTTTCACCTCCAAAACACCAACTGAATGGCGGGAGTACAAAGTGGCCTTTAACAGGCGGTGTTCTTCATAGAGTGCCCACAACTGGAAGTAATAATATCAAGAAAATTTATATAGGAGGATACCAAGATGGATCAGTTCGAATTTGGGATGCGACATTTCCAGTGATGTCCCTTGTTTCTGTATTTGGATTTGAGGTTAGTGAAGTCATAAATTTTTTACTTAATAATACCCTTGTGTTCTCATGTACAAGATTGAGAGCGAAGTTTCTTACCGATTATTCATTCCACACTTGGAACCTATTTTTTATGCTAGCAGATAAAAGGTATTCAAGTGGCTGGAGCAACTGCTTCGATATCAGCATTGGATTTTTGTTCTGCCAACTTAACTTTAGCTTTTGGCAATGAAAATGGTTCTGTAAGAACTAATATACCTTTCCTCCTTGTCAATAGCATTATCAAAGATGTCGAATTGCTACTTCAATATTTTTTCCTCTCTTTTTTGCCTTTTTATCTCTTGGCAGATTTTCCTTTATAGGCTACAAGGAACCCCAAATCAAACAACAATTACCGTTGTCACTGAATCCAAATGTGAAGGTATGGTTCCCGTTTTAATGTGGTCTTTTGGGGAGCCCTTCTCTTGTCCATTCAATTTTATATGTTAACATCTGGTTTGGACAATTTTCAGAATCTGAGTAACGTTTGTATGACAATGTTTCTTCAGTGGATTATGATGTTCTTTATAACCAGTTTGAATCAGCATCAGAGTGCTGGGAACATTAAATTGTAAAGCCAGTGGATCAGCCGTGATTTTACCTATTTTTAGTTTTTTATGAGTTCTGATTGTAATCAAGGGTCTACTGGGTTTGTCTTCTGCAGACCAGTTCTTTAATATGAGGCATAGTTGTAGAAGATGAAAGTAGAGAGCATTTGGGGGAAAATATCTTTTCCTGTTTTTTTCATTCAACATAACAGTCATATTACAAAAGTGGTGTATTTATACACAAAGAGAAAACAAAAGAAGAAATACGTTTTCACTAAAGTGACTAACAACTATTCTGTAATACTAACCAAAAGAGAAACGGCTAGCTAACTAACAAAACTAACACAACTGAACCTGTACACTCTACAATAGTAATGGATATTTAATCAATGAAATGACTAACGGATTTTTAAGATTAATCATAGGTCAAATGCATTTTTCTTAACGGCTTGTTGATTGATTGATTGATAGGTCAAATGCATTTTTTTAATGATCAAATGCCATGCCTGATATATTTAAAGATTGCTGATAGGACATGAGGTTCTGGATTGTTGTTTGACCTATATAGAAAGTGTAAAATATCAATCTTTGCAAGAGTGTGTTAACTTTTTCCTCTATGAATTCATTGCCATTTTAAAGATTTGAAATTTCTTGATGTATTACATATTGGTAAGTCATGACTTTTTCACCCCTAAAAGGTTTTCCTGAAGTACAATATGTCCACTGACATATAATAAAGCTAATATGTTGCTGGGTGTCTCACTATTACCAAATTTGTTTGACCTTCTATGAATAATTGATCCTCATTGTGTGCTTCCATAATCATGGTGAAAGGTGCAGCTTGTCTTAAAACACAATGTATCTGCCATGGTGCATTTCAATATCACAATCAACTTCTAATACGAATTGCTTTCTTTAGTGAACCAAGGCTCTTGGATTGAGGCCATTAAGATGAGTGCAACTTTAGTAAAATATTGTTTAGGAATGAAAATTTGATGTTCTACTTCTATTTACACTCTTGAAGCAGTATTCTCACTTGTAGCTGGTTCACTTATATTACCTGAACTATTATGCAATCAAATCAATATCTCTATCGATTCTCTAGTGCACTAGCGACATATGGTATTAAGCATCGATGATATAAATCCGGCAGCGAAGGTTTTGATTAAATTTCTGCATGGGTCAGAGGGATACATATCTAAGGATTTATTCCTTTCTTAAAGTTACGTACATCTTGATCCATTTTACTCAGTTATTCAACTTTATTGAGTTTATTTAGTCGTTAGACGGCCTGTATGTTAGGGGCCTAACCAAAGTTTAGTCATGCTAGATTGCGTTTTTGGGATTTTTCGTTTCAACACATACCTAACTATAAAGAAGGAACCAATTTTTTTAGCTAGATAACCCACCAAGCTATGCAATGTTTGAATAAAAAAATTCACTGCCAGATTCATATCAGTAGATAAATTCTTATTCACTATTGTAGTCAATAACGTGCATCGACATGAACTAACTTGTAGGTTCTTGCATCAATTATTGTTTTCAACTTTCCTTCATCTTGAAGGAAAAAAAAAAATAAAATAAAATCATTCAATAGTATTATTTTTTTGGTGCTATTTTTTGGGGCCACTAGTTACAATTATTTTATATTCAAAATATTCTCATCTATATATCAATCGTGATCATGTTATGGTTTATTGCAGATCATCAGTGCATGCTTGGAGAGAGAATTCATTGTTACATAATATATTCCCTACTTAAGTCTCCCGTGTGCGTGTTGCAATTCACAACATCTGGAGCCAGGCTTGTTGCAGGTTTTGAGTCTGGACAGGTTGGTCTAGGTCCCCCCAATTACTCAATCAATTTAACTAATTTCTGTTAAATCATCTTGATTGTCTTGCTTCTGGACCGAAAACGGCAACAAACAAGTATGTTGGGTTGCTCGTTATATCGAAAATTTACAAGATCCATTGTTCTGGCATACCCAAAAGTGGAGACAGGTTTAGGCCATTGTCATAAGCAACACTAAATGAAATGACTTCAAGACATACCCAACTATAAGAAAGAAATAAATCATTATAGCTAGATAAGCTTTCAAACTGTGCAGAATTATAATTGAAACCTCCAATAGGATTCATATCAGAATAAGAGCACTAACAAACTCCATAAACCTAATATTTTTTCTCTTTCCACAGATCAGTCAAATCCCCCCAAGCACCACCAAACACATCCCAATTTTCGTCTTTTTAGTTCTTGAAAACTCTGACTTACATCATTAGGCCACTGGCAACACCCTAACAATTCTTGCTTTTCTTTTTATATGTTTTTTTCACGTAGAAAGTGGCAGGGCTTACTTTTGCTTCTCATTCTCGTTTTCCTTCTCCTGCTTCTCCAAAAGTATAAGATGAAACTTGATGCCTTCAAAACGTCTTCCCCAAAATGCCTTCATATCGATAGGGGACTATTCGAGTTAGCAGAAAACTCCAACTCTACCAATTTGCTAATTACTAAATGAAATCTATTTCATTACTCATAAAATATATTACTTGAGAGCGTTTCATATACAGATTCTCAATTTTTTATCTATCTTTTTACAGGTTGCTGTTCTCGATAGTACTGCACCTTCTGTTTTATTTATTACCGACTCTGAGCTTACTGCAAAGTGTTCGGCCATATCACTAGTTGTTAAAACCACTTTTGGTGATCATGAAAACAATGTAAAGGACTCTGATTATAAAACTGAAATCGAATATACCAAGGAGATTGCTATTGTCCTCAGTGGAGATGCTCATGTGCTTGTGATGGACTGCACCAGTGGGAATATGATCAATTCACTGCCACTGTTTCTGAAAGAAAAATCAATCGCAATAAGCATGCATTTATTAGGTACGTATGCATCAGTTTGCTTATAAAATAGACTTAAATACATGATAATACCTTTGAGGTTTGTTTAATTACATAAAAATGTAGCTATTATTCTAAGTAACAAATACTCAATTGACAATTGTTTTTTATTTACCAAGTTAACCCTCAAATGGAGAAATTTGTTTGGAAAAAACAAACCTCAAGGAGCCATGAAGTGATTAGGATGCCTTGATAGGGTATTTGTGATTCAGGAAGATAAATAAGTTTTTT